ATGCCACAGCACTCTACCCCGGAGGATAGCTTGAGGCTCCGTCTAAAAAAAAAAAAAAAAAAAAGAATGAGATGATCACTGTTAATGACTGTCAGGCTGACCATTTGTGTCACCTCTCACCACATTATGTGGCTGGCTTCTGACTTAAGACACTTCGCTTCTCTTATCCACTTGTGGTTGTTTGAAGCTGTCCCCCAAAGTTCCCTACTCAAGGAGAAAAGAGGCTGCGTGAAGACATAAGCATAATGATCAGATTTTGGACCGCCATGTTCTCAGATAAGAAGTACCTGACTGCCAGCCAGCTTGTTCCTCCAGGTAACATTGGCCTTAGCTAGAAGTCCTCAAACTTTTTAAAGAAGGGGCCAGTTCACTGTCCCTCAGACCGTTGGACGGCTGGACTGCAGGCCCCAGGACAAGTCGGCTGCTAAGCAGGACAGGCAGCAGTGGCAAAAACACCTGGCAGGCCGGATAAATGTCCTAGGCGAACTGCATGTGGCCCGTGGGCCATAGTTTGAGGACACCTGGCCTTAGCAGTGCAGCTCCTCTTGGGCAGAGGGGTGGACAGGCCTAAAGAGGCCAGGGCACAAGAGCAGGAGCCCCATTCAGTCCTCTGCTCAGCCATGCCAGACAGTCCTCTGGCACCCAGCACCTGCCTGGCTACTGCTTCTCCACCCTGAACTGAGAGGCATGAGTGAACTAGCACAGGAGGCCATTGAGCCATTCACTGCAGCTGCTCCCAGCACCAGCTCCTGCTTAGTTCACAGGTACCTGCTGAGCATCTGATGGCCTGGCATCAGGCCGAGGCCAGTGTGCCCAGATGACTAAGGCATAGCCCATTGTTCTCTGGCAGAAGACAGTCAAGTGGACTGGTCACTTTAACATGAGGGGACTGTGGGAGTACCCATCAAGGACAGCCACTTGGCCTGTCCATAGGAGCTGGGATGCCAGAGATGATTTTCTGGAATAGATGACATCTGAGCTGAGTTGGAGAGGCTGACTGGGAGCTAGCAGGGTAGATGGGGCCAAAGACCATTGCAGGGCCTACCAAACAACAGTGACAACTACACCCAAAAAATAGCCAGGCATTGTGATGGGCAGCTCTTATCCTAGTTACTCAGGAGGCTGAGGCAAGAGAATCACTTAAGCCCAAGAGTTTGAGGTTGCTGTGAGCTGTGATGCCATGGCACTCTACCCAGGGTGATATA